TTGTTGTTGTTGTTGTTATTATTATTTTGGCCACAAAAATGCTGTTTTACCACAAATACATCATTGATTAATGCTCCTCGCGAGTTTCAATTATCCGTGCCCACGGGCAACGTGTGCCTTTTATAAAGAGAAAAGTCTGCACGTCGGGCCGGCTTATCCCGCTTTCGGTACCGTAAGTTACAAGGAGTATTTCAACTTCCCACTGGATGGGATGCTAGTCCATCGCGGGGTTATCTCAGGCATTAAGTTCGCCGGTACCATTTATACACCTGGGTGGAGAGAGGCACTGTGAGAGTAAAGTGTCTTGCTCAAGAACACGACACAATGTCCCCGGCCAGGGTTCTAACCCGGACCGTGCAATCTCGAGGCGAGTGTGCTAGCTATTGGGCCATCGCACCTCCACGAGAAGAAAGATGACAGCTGCCTTTCTCATTCAACCACCCCGCTTAACCGTAACGGTGACAAAATGATTGCGAATCGGTTAACTAGCTGTGCATTGTTTTCAATTCCAGGTTGTCAGATAACAAATGCATCATCGAATATATCGATACAGTTTTATCTTGAGGCCAGTTATTTGCATCAAGAAAACGGAGCTTCTGTTTCGGAACTGACTGGCATTCCACTGTAGACGGGAACAACGTTAGGGACAAAAAGTGTGTTGGTGTCCCGTCTTGGATAAAGGCCCACCCGATTTGATCTGAAGGTACAATTTTGCGAGGTTTTATTAACAGTAGAGAGGGAGAAATTAAACGTCAAGGTACTCTAAGGGCCTCCACAGAGTATAGACTGGACATTTAGTTGTCGACAACTAATTGTGTCCGATACGAACATTCCACACATTGAAGTGTAAGTTGTCGATGTCATAGTCAGGTCAGCGAGATCTTGAGAGCTAGCGTTCACCACGCATGCTCAAAACACAATACGCATGCTCAAACCACTGACCACTGACAACGTAGTTTCGATAATTCCCGACTACTAAACCAATCATTCCCACACACGGGAATAACGGTCAAAACTTAGTCGTCGACAACTAAAGCAGTTTCCCTTTTCGAAAAGGGAATCTGCTTGGTTGTCGACGACTGAAAATTTAACGTTTAATTGTCGACAACAAATCTCACACACACTACGTTTTTTAGTTGTCGATAACAAATAGCGGTCGACAACTAAATTTTTCGTCTGTGGAGGCCCTTTGAAACGCAAAACGGGTCCCGGGCAAGAGGTCATTTTCACACTGGACGGGAATTGAGTGGACGGAATGGGTCGGAAATTGCCTTGGGAATAAAGTGTCCGTCCGGAAAATCCGAAACTGTTGAATCTCAAAAAGTAAAATTTTGCAAATTTTCTTGTGCAAACTCGAATGGTCCGGGAGGAAAGTTTCGAAAATTTGGGAATGCTTTGTGAGGTTATCCTCTTTTTGGGAAATTTTCGAAACCTTTTCCATTTCGGGACAGCCAGCCCGAATATACTGTTCCATGTGCCAGTGGATATGCTCCAGAATATTTGGTCGAATGGGACGTCCCCACAATTTTAGACAATTAACTTGTATTAATTTTTGCGGATATTTCACCAGATTATTTTAAATTTAAACATATTGTAATATATGTGTTCCCCAGGAACTCAAAGGGTTCATGTGAGGGGCTTAACTGAATATAAAAAGTATGCAAGGACGTCACAAATACCTCTAGAAATAAATCTTTAACAGATTAAGGACGTTCGCTCGAAAATTTTCCAACATTGACTTTTACCACTGTAAGATGATGAGTTAGTTATGTCAAGAAAGTGAAAAAAAAAAAANGTTTTGGAGAGAACATGCCTGGAAGAACACCCTAAATCTGAAAAACTCGGACTTCGTTTGCGAATAAGGCCACAGTGTCTGTAAGCCCAAAAATATTGCAATTAGATCTTCAAAGTGAAATGTTCTCTGCCAAATATTGTTTAGGTGAATTTAGTCTACTGGTGAGGTTCCTCAAAGTACAGGTTCCCATTTAGCGACCATAGTTTCACGCGCCTTACAGCAGCAACATGGCAGGATTCTATGTCCCGTGGACAGAAATCTTGAAATTTTTTAAACTTCCCGCATTGATTTTTTGTTCATTTTTAAACAGTGTGGAGATAATTGTAAATAAGATCTGTTTCTGGAAAGAAAAGTAGGGGTCACCGAACATCCAAGCTCGTTAAATTTAGGCAAAGCTATAACAATGGCCATCTGTCCTATCATTGTTGATTTTATTACTTAGCGCGCACTCTCATACATGACGTGGCGTGTGAACTTGCGTGCGCAGTAAGGATGCGCGGAAACAACTAGCGCGAACGTCCTTAAGATAACCTCTAATGGAAAGCGGCCATTTTGTTGCTATCCGTCCATGCAGACAGGCATGCTACTTGTTTTGCGTTCGACCAATGAGACTTGAAAAGAGTTAAAAAAAAAAACTGTTAATCTTTTTTTAAAACATAACTAACATACCGCTCATTTGACACTGCGACAGGCTTGTTGTTCCAGTTATGCCATGATTGGCCCCTTCAATGAGGTAGTATCCAGCTTTATTTTTAAAACTCTTGTTGCTTACCTTAAAAAGAAATTATAATAACCACATTAAGTAAAGATTTTTTGTTGGTTCGGATCTTTGCTTAATTTGGGTAGCAGAACTCATATGCATAAGCAAGTAAAGACGAAAGATATAATGGCCCGTCGTTTCGGCGACGTACCTCACGACGCCGTCATCAAGGAATGAATAAATGAGAGCGAGTTCAAAAGAGCTAAGACCTCTAGATTTACATAAATGAAGTTAAGTTAGGCGAAGACTTTAGGGCGGATCGAATCTGTTTGTACATTCAAACGTGGCCTTAATTGTTTTATAATGGCGTCGTGAGGTCGCTGAAACGTCGGGACATTGCTTCATTAGTTTTTGCTTGCTTGTGTATTTCAAAAGCATTATCAATAAGAACTCAAATGAACAAGACAACACACTTCATAGCAATATGTAGAAATTCTATCGAGCGTATTGGAATATTTTTGCAGTGAGATCATTACCACATACAAAGTGTCATGTGTTCAGAGAATCGATAAATGGTGCCCGCTGCGATCAAGTTAGTTTGCCCTCAGGGCCTAAGTTCCTCCTCTCGAGAACAAGGTTTCTGTTACAATAACCGGGGAACACGTGCCGACAAGAAATTTTCTACTCTTGGTGTTGTCGCAATGCCCTTATTAAAA